TATTTGACTATATTAGATTTATTAAAGTATTGCTTAATATATGTTCTTTGAATATTTTTTACCATTACAAACAAAGATGCTTTTATTTGCGGAAGATAGATTACCAGAATTAGGTAGCTGGGTAAAAAGGTTATGTAAATTTTTAACCAATCTGCCAGATCACTTTTCAAAACCACTGAGTAAGAGTGCCTCATTCCCGAATTCATCCTCAGGAATGCATATTATTCCTCGTAATTGCTCTTTTTACAATATGATGGGCAAAATAACACAGTGTCTCATGGTTTAAGTTTGCCATTAGCCAGGTTATGGGTGCTGCTGAACAATCCTTCATGCTTACTGGCTGACTACTTTTCTTAATTCTTTTCCAGATAGTTGTATTTTGACTTATTTATTTATTTATTTATTCATTCTTTTTTTAAATTTACATCCAAGTGAGTTACCATATAGTGCAACAATGACTTCAGGAGTAGATTCCTTAATGCTCTTTTTTTTTAAAGGAGGTTCTACACCCAGCCAGGAACCCAACACCAGCTTTGAACCCATGACACCGAGATCAAGAGTCAGACTGAGCTAACCGACTGAGCTAGCCACTCAGGTGCCCTGGATTTCGACATTTATTGTATCTCTTGCCATAAAGAGTTTAAATTCGTGAAATGCACAGTGCCAGACACATAGTAAATGCTATTATTGTAAATAAATATAACAATTTCTAGTTTTATAAAGTCATACGCATCATTTAATGACATGCTCCTATGATAAGAAGTCATTTTTTAAAATGTGCCTTCTTTACATAGAGCTATAAGGGATTTCTTTCACCAGTTCCCCTATGGTTAGACGTTTAGGTCGATGATGGTTAATGGTTGCACAACAATGTGAATGCAATTAATACTGAATTGTACACTTTAAAGTGGCTAAGATGACAAATTTTACATCATGTATATTTTGCTGCAATTTTTTTTTTAAAAAGGGGAGGATATGGGGCACCTGGGTGGCTCAGTCGGTTGAGCATCAACTTCAGCTGGGGTCATGATCTCGTGGTTGGTGAGTTCAAGCCCCCACCAGGCTCATCCCTGTCAAGCATAGAGCCCACTTCAGATCCTTGGTCCTCCTCACTCTCTGCCCCTCCCCTGCTTGTGCTCTCTTGTCAAAAATAAACATTAAAATAAATACATTGAAAAAAGTGGGGGGATCCACCATCAATGTTTCCTGAACTTTTTTATTCATGGGACTCTTTTTTCTCAGGGAACAGTTGATGGGACTGGTACTTCCCTAGATCCCACTTTTCTCCTCTCCTGGATGATAAACTCCTAGAAGGCAAGGAACTGTGGTTGGTATTTCTTCATCATCTCACAGTACTCGGTTTGTCGACTGATTTTAAAGTGATCTTATAGCAAGAGCAGGACTTTCAGTGTTGGTTCTTCTCTATCAGTATTTTACAAAAGATAGGTTTTGTGGGTATCTATAAACATCAATAAACCAGAGGTGGTTTTGTTTTTAGAACAGGCTAAAATAAAGAAGCTCCAATGTAAGATCTCGTGCACGAGGTTGACATCTGTACCAGGACTGATAGGAAGGTGCTTTCTTCAATAGGTCATTTTGGGAAGAACAGAAAGTCACCATCCTTTAGCAGATTCTATATGCTGGGGTACAATATCTGTCCAAAAACCAAAACTCCCCTTGGCATATTATCAGCCAAATTTTCAAGTGTTCTTCTATTTAATTCATTGGCTTTAAAAAAAAAATCATTAAAAGAATCAAAGGTTAGGACAGAATTTTCTTACCATATAATCAAGGAAAAAAAAAACGCAACTCTCTTTGGATGAGGTGTTTCTCTTTCTTGGGGTAGTTAGCTAATCTGGTAGAACCCAGGACTTCTGTTTTTCATGCTTATTTATAAATGATTCCTATGGAACACCTGTGGGGCCACTGTGGGAACGGGGCAAGGGGCAGACGGAGAACACTGATGCTGCACCACCACTTCTCACACTTGTTAATATTAAGAAACCTCATCCCTCTTCATCTTTGCAAAAGCAGTGAAGTAAGCACACAGGTGTGTCTGAAAGATCATATGCATCCTTACTCCAATTTAGTTTTAACAAGGCGTTTGCATTAAATGCTTAAGAATGAGCATCCTTGCCTTGAAAAATCTCTGGTGTCATATTTAACCAAAGGGACAACTATTTGACATAAAATACTTTTGTCAGCCAAGGTCCAGGGACGCAACAGAAAACACACTGGTTATTTTAACAAAGAGAATATAAATAATTGTTAGTAGAGACTTAGAGACAGACCACATTCTGTCTCATACCAAGACATGTGGAAGTCTGATCTGAACAACCGGTTCAAAGTTCAGTACAGAAAAGGCAGAGCAGAGGAAGTATGTAATTTATCTAGTTTTAACCCAGCACAAAATGAGTGATTAAAAAGGTTTTTCGACATCAGCACTATTGACATTTGGACTGGGGATTTTTTTTTAATTTTTTTTTTTTCAACGTTTATTGTGTGGTATTTGGGACAAGGAGCAAACATGAGCTGAGGGGAGGGGAGCAGAGGAAGAGAGAACCTTACACAAGAATCGGGAAACAGGCTCAAGGCTCTAATAGCCCAAACCTTTGAGTCTGACTGAGCTCCTGGGACCTTGAGATAATCGTGACCTAATGAGCAGTCAGGACCTTAACCGACTACCAAGCGCCCTGGGGGATTTTTTTTTTTAATGTTAATTATTTGAGAGAGAGAGAGAGAGACGGAGCATGAGCTTGGCAGGCAGAGAGGGAAGTGGGAGCAGAAGCTCCAGGCTCTGAGCTGTCAGCACAGAGCCCAACACGGGGCTCCAAATCACAAACCGTGAGAAGTCTGACGCTTAACCGACTGAGACATCCAGGTGCCCCCTGCATAAATATATATTTTAGCCCTAGCAACTCTGCCCACACAAAACAAACAACCACAAATCCTATTTTAGATCAAATTAATACAGAGCACCTACAATGGTATTGACCTGTGCAGTTAGTATGACAGTCACTATCCACAACTCCATACTGAGCACTTGAGACATCGTCAGTATGAATTGAGATGTGCTCTGAGTGTAAAATTCACACCGGACTTCAAAGATGAAGTCCCCCCAAAATAATACTCTTTTGTATTGATAACATACTAAAACACTATCTTGGATATAATGAGTTGCTTAAAATATATTACTAAAATTAATTTTACTTATTTCTTTTTGTTTTATAATTTTATACATATAAAATTATGCATGTGGCTTGCACTTGTATCTTGCACTGTATCTCTGTTGGACAGTGCTGGGTCTAGAATAATTGGTATCACTACCCAACTTTAAACTGCAACATCTGAGAAACTCTGTACATCTGGTTGAACAGGCATATCTTCTTGGAAGGCAAGTTACCACCAGTGCCGACTCAGGCAGGCACACACGAAGTTTAAGAGAATTTTAACCAGACACTCAAAGGCAAATCCAACCCATGACAAGATTATCATGAGAGGACACACATCCAAAAGGTTAACAATGAAAATGGCTCCAGAATTTTTAAGGAATTCAAACTTCCCCCCAAGTCCAATACTTCTTTCTTTGCATAAGAGATCTCTCAAAGGGTTAATTATAAAGTCGTGTATTGTGTTTGTTATTTTATCGTGTTTGCTATTTGAAAACATTAAATACATTTGCCTAAGTATTATCTCCTATGTTTTTCACAAAAGCCCTTACAGATAATTAGGGAAAGTTATTTACATGTTGAAAATACAGCCCAGGTGTTGTTTCCAGGAGGAAGACCTTGGTCTAATGCACCACATTCTTCCAATGAATGCAGTTGGTCTGTGTTTAAACTCCACTTTTAAGTGACCTATTTCCAAATGTCCCCAAACTCTTTCCTAATCAGAAGGAAAACAGGCATGCATGCTTTAAAATATTCAGAAAAAAACCTAAAAGTTCTTAGGTTGTTAAATGTCTTGCAAATCTGACATAACCAAGGGCTTGTTATTCATGCTTATTTATAAATGACTCCTATGGAACAGGATTTCTACACAGACCGCGAGAACTAGGAATCTGGGCTAGTTTGTTCATGTGGCAAAGGGGACAGGGGCTAGCCTGCCTAACTCTGTAGGGCCACTACACCAGAACTTGTCCTTCCTCCCTTACTGCAAGTTTTTACTTTCAAACACTCTAGGCTGCAAGTGCATGGTAAATATAGATTACTTCCCCCCCAGAGCACTACAGGCATTTGTTTGTTCAAGGGTTGAACTTTAAAGTCCTTTCTAGCTCTGAAACCGAGCAACTGTGTCTCCAGAACAAGTGATAATCATTCAAACAGTCCCCGACTTACGATGGTTTGACTTAGGATTTTTCAGTTTTACGATGGCGTGAAAGCGATACACACTCAATAGAGACGACTTCGAATTTTGAGTTTCGATCTTTTCCCAGGCTAGCTACATGCATGCAGGACCATGCTCTCCTGACGCTAGGCAGTGGCAGGAAGCTCCCAGTCAGGCCCTCCATCAGGACGGTAAGCAACTATACTTAAAATTACTCTGTACCTATACAACCATTCCGTTTTTCACTTTCAGTACAGCGCTCAATAAACTACACAAGATATTCAACACTTCTCACAAAACAGGCTGTGTGTTAGACGGTTTTGCCCAACTGCAGGCTAAGAAGTGGTCTGAGCAAATTTAAAATAGGCTAGGCTAAGTAAGCCATGTAGGCTAGGTATACTGAATGCAGTTTGGATGTGCCATATTTTCAATTTACAATGGGTTTATCTGGACGTAGCCCAATCGGAAATCAATGAAGACCTGTATTTATGTACATTTAGATGAAATAAACTATGCACTTGACCTAGCACATAATGGCTCTCCATAACAGTAGTAATCATCATTGCTGAATTTACCGGGGCGTCCAACAGAATCTAGCGAGAGCTACTAATTTTCAGCGCAACCCGCCCCAAGCATCGTACTTCCGTTAGAAGCCAAGGCTTTGACTCCAATACCTTTTCCAAAACTCTATCAAAATCGCGACCACTGCCCATCGTCTTCAACAGCTCCAGCAGGTGCTGTGTCAAGCGGTTCATCGTGGACCGTTCCTGCTTCTGGGCACCGCACAAGAATGAACCTTGCAAGAGCCGGGAGCCCCGATGTGTTCGCAAAACACCAAGGGCGAGCAGGGCGAAGAAATCTCCGTCTTCCCCGCCCACTGTGCGCTCCGGGTCCGGCGTCGCGGGCTCCGGCTGCCAAGGCGTCAGGGGCTAGCGCTCTGAGGTTCCGACCCCGCTTGTGACCGTGCGCGCAAGCGCTGTTATATCCGCTCCCGCCCCTGCCGCCGCCCGCCCTCCCCCCGCGTGGCCACGCCCATCGCCCTCGGAGGGCGGAGCGCGTTTCCCGCCGGGCGGGTAACGCGAGTGCGCCGGGGCGGCAGGCGCCTGCGCAGTGCCCGGCGTCGGCCCGCGGCGAACGGATGGAGGGGCCGAGCGGCTCGGAGGTCACGCTGGAGGCGGACCGGGAAGAGGGCGAGCCCGAGGCGAAGAAGCGGCGGCTTCTCTGTGTGGAGTTTGCCTCGGTCGCGAGGTGCGACTCCGCCGTGGCTCAGTGCTACCTGGCCGAGAACGACTGGGAGATGGAAGTAGGCTTCGCTCCTCTCTCCCCCCTCTGTATCTCGGCCCGGGGAGCGCCCAGGTCCCATCGCTGTGTCTGTTTTTCAGAGAGCGCTGAACTCGTTCTTCGAGCCGCCAGTGGAGAACAGCGCCTTGGAAAGCCGCCCTGAGACCCCGGCAGGGCCCGGGTCCTGGTGAGTGAGCGCCGGGCGGGTTCCTCCGAGGCGGTGGGCGGGCGCTCCGGGGGAGCTCGAGCAGCTGCCTGCCGGCGGAGATGCGCCCCGGCGGCGCCCGGGTCCTGGTGAGTGTGCGCGGGGCTGGCTGGTCTCTCGGAGGGGCTCATGCAGGTGGTTGGGGTGCTGATGGCGCCCCCGCCGCGGGGCGAACGCGTCACCCCGACGTAATGTAGTCCGGGAAGGAAAACTTCGAAGCTTCCTTTTTGATTCGAGATCTAGGAACTGTGTGAGAGGTTCGAAATAAATGAATGAGGCAAAATCCTCTGTTGAAGAACGGTAACTTGGAAGTCTCCTGGCTTCCGGTGCGGTTTATCTGCGTAGTTTTTTTTTTTTTTAAGGGCACACCCGCCTTGTAATTCCACTGCTTGCCTCCCCAGTTCCAGCCCTGCTGCCCTTCACGTCCAGATGCCTTACGCATCCCTCCAGGTTGACCGCTGCCTGTCCTTCCAGTTTTGTCTCCTCTCACCCTCTCTTTCTGACCCCACAAAAACTTAACAGGCATATCAGACTTTCGTTTTCTCCAGTGGGCCGTTTTCTCTTTTCAGCCTTCGTAAAGATATTTATGACCTCTGCCCTGAACCTTTTCTTGGACTCTCTTCATGCTAAGTAGTATTTACCGTAAGGCCCGTCTTACCTCCAAGAAACTTTTCCTCTTAGGTAATCTTACAGCATCCTGCAGGATCCCGGTCATAGTAACTAAGTTCACATTCTAATTGCTACTTAATATTTTATATCTCCCACTAGGCTCCCCATTTGGTGAAGCCCATATCTGTTTTATACGTTGTTAATCTCCCAAGTCTAATACAATATTTGGCATGTAATAAGCTCTCCATAAACATGTATAAAGTTCTCCCCGGTATGTGAGCAGCTGGTAGAGTTAACTTCATAGTGAAGACACATTTCTCCCGATAATCTTTTCGGCTGCACCAGTTTCCAGATGTGATAATTTCATTAGGCTCCTCTATCTGCCTAGCTTCTTACTGGGGGAATTGTCCACCCATCCACAGTGACAGAGCTGTGCCTCCCGTGTTGTAGTATTCACCTAGCCCAAGCTGGCCAGCCAGATCTTCTCTCCTGGGATTTCAAGATTAGGATAAAGAGAGTTCAGTCTAAATCTTCCTGTGGAGCTGGAACCATAACGTTGCTAACTTCGAACTTGTGCAGGAAAGAGGAGAAGGCTGGTTTGCAAGAGGCAGAATGAGGCTGAGGAAGTTGAGTCAGATGGAGAGAAAGCCTTGATTGAACTTCCTTAGAGACAGCTGCATTCCAGAACCTGGCTCTGTGGCATGTTTCTGTTTCCTTCTAAATTCCTCTGGTGTGCTCAAACCAGCCTGAGTTAATTTATGCCATTTAGAATCTAAACTGTAACCAATAAAGAAATTGGAACAGAGGCACTTGATCTCAGGGTGGTGAGTTCAAGCCCCATTCTGGGAGAGAGAAAGGGGGGGGGGGGCAGAAAAAGGGAGAGAGAGAACCCCTAGCAGGATCCCTGTGGTCAGCACAGAGCCGCATGTGGGGCTTGAACTCACAAACCATGAGCTCATGACCTGAGTCAAAATCAAGAGTTCGACACTTAACTCTGCCACCCCGGCACCCCTAGAGCACGCAATTCTTGATCTTGCGGTTGTAAGTTCAAGCCCCCATGTTGGGTGTAGAGATTACTTAAAATCTTAGGGGCTCCTGGGTGGCTGAGTTGGTTAAGTGTCAGACTCTAATTTCAGCTCAGGTCATGATCTCGAGGCCAGTGGGATTGAGCTCCACGTCGGGCTCTACTTGGAATTCTCTTTCTCTGCCCCTCCCCTGCATGTGCACTTTCTCTCTCTCTCAAAAATAAATATTAAAAATAAATAAAATAAATAAACATTAAACAAATAAAATCTTGAAAGCAGAACAGAGGAAGTGGATTCCCTAAAATAGTCCCTCAAAAATGTGAAATCCAGCTGAGTAATGGTGGAACGGAAGGGCATTTGGAGTCCCTCTCAGAATTATAAATTGGGATTTTGGTAGCACAATTGGCGAAATTTGAATAGGTCTTAAAATTACATAATAATGTCGTATCAATGATAATTTTCTGACCTTTAGTAATGCTTGGGTATATATGTAAGCCTGTCCTTGTTTCTGGGAAATACATACAAAAGTATTTATGCAAACATTTCACAATAAAAAGCAAAGCAAGTAAATGTTAAGTAAGTGAATGGTAATGTTTGTGTGGGTGAATGGTGAAAAGAATTCTTTTTACCCTTTCTAATGTTTTACTGAAAGTCTGAAATTATTTAAAAATACGTTAAAGTAATGTTAACTTGGGGCACCTGGGTGGCGCAGTCGGTTAAGCGTCCGACTTCAGCCAGGTCACGATCTCGCGGTCCGTGAGTTCGAGCCCCGCGTCAGGCTCTGGGCTGATGGCTCGGAGCCTGGAGCCTGTTTCCGATTCTGTGTCTCCCTCTCTCTCTGCCCCTCCCCTGTTCATGCTCTGTCTCTCTCTGTCCCAAAAAAAAAAAAAAAAAAAAAAAAAAAAAAAAAAAAAAAAGTAATGTTAACTTGATTTATTGTGGTTACTTTACAGTGGTTACAAATACTGAATCATTATGTTGTGCAACAATTAATATCATGTTATATGTCAATTATATCTCACTAAAAAGTTTTAATTAAAAAGTTAAAATATTGGCATTAAATTTATTGAAGTTATAAATATGAAAACCTATTTCTGAAATTTATGTATGGCATGTAACTGCTTAGCAATCAACTTTTAATAATGGTTTGTGCCTCCACTCAAATATCTGGGCCTTGGTGGAGGTGGTGTGAAATGGTTTCTCAGGACTGCGGACTGGAGCTTATATGTTTGGCCTCTCCAGCATGTAGTCTCAGACTTCTCATGTGGTATCTTGCGAGAGAGCGTTCCAAAAGGCTCGAGTGAAAGCTGCAAAGTTTCTTATGACCAAGGCTCTGAAGTCCCAGGACATCCTTTCCATCCTATTCTGTTGGTCAAGCAAATCACTAAGGCAAAGATTCAGGGAGAGAGCTGTTGGACCTCCCCTTTCAATGAGGGGGTAACAACACATTTGCAGCTGCTATTCACAAAGAGATCTTACTTCATAGGTTTCCTCTGTGTCATTTATGATGTAAAATAAACCCACATTTGGAAATCTTATATTGCTCAGTCTGACTTCAGGTCATAGTTTAAAAAATCATTTTAGGAGTGCCTGACTGGCTCAGTCAGTTAAGCATCTGACTTCAGCTCAGGTCATGATCTCGCCATCCATGAGTTAGAGCCCCGCATCGGGCTCTGTGCTGACAGCTCAGAGCCTGGAGCCTGTTTTGGATTCTGGGTCTCCCTCTGTCTTTGCCCCTCCCCTGCTCACGCTCTGTCTCTTGCTCTCTCAAAAATAAATAAACATTAAAAAAAATTTTTTTAAGTCATTTTGGTGACATTGAGGGATATTGAGTTGGCTATAATTATATAAGTGAACAATATTTAGATAACAATAAGAATCTTTTTTCCGCAGTTGTATGGCTTCTTCTCTTATATAGACAGATACTTTTAGGGCTCTTAAAATTTATTTATCTGTAAAATGAGGGCTACAAATAGTTAGAAAATAATTTCAAATTAATCAGTTTATATAGATGATTTGCAAAGTTGTGTTTCATTGTGATCTTGCCAGTGTTGATCTAACAAATGAAGAAACAACAGATTCCATTAGTTCTAAAACCAGCACATCTGAAGGTATTCAGCAAGAGGATGGCAGCACGTTCTCTTTCATTACCTGGAATGTTGATGGATTAGATCTAAACAATCTGCAAGAGAGGGCTCGAGGAGTGTGTTCCTATTTAACTTTGTAAGTATTATTACTTAGATTTAATGGTAGCATGATCATGTGTTTTACCGTCTACAAAAAGGGTAAAGGTCAAGGTTGTGGGCATTGGCATCAGATCTGAGTTCAAAACCCAACTCTCCAAAGACACATGTGAAAGAGCGGAGAGTGATTGCCTCTCGGTGTGGGTGGGCAGGGGAGGGAATGCTGATTTTTGTTAGCAGCCTTCTAGTACTGTTTTCCTTTCTAAACCTGTATGTAATTATTGCTGTGAAAATAAAATTACCAAGGTCAACTGTATCTGCTACACACTGGCTCTGTGACCTTACATAATCACTTGTGAGCTGCTGAACTTCTCTGCAGTTCAGTTTCCTTCATCGTGGATAATAACTGGTGAGGATTAATAACTTTTAAAGCATCTCATGGGCCATTATTAGGCTCTCAGTACACTGATTTCTATTATCTATGATTCCACTTCTTTTCAATTTAAAGTGTTATGTATGTTTTTCTTTTTTAATTTGATGTTTACAGTGTTTGTTAAATGGCACAGATCTTTCTGATTTTATAATTATCAAAGGTCAGTGTAAAGATTGAATATTAGATCTCCTAGGGGGCAGGATATTTTGCTAATCTAAGCGGCAGCACATGAAATAGTTTACCTGGTATTTATCATAAATTGCTGTTTTGAATTAGGTATAGCCCGGATGTGATATTTCTCCAGGAAGTCATCCCCCCGTATTGTAGCTACCTAAAGAAGAGAGCAAGTAGTTATGAGATGATTACAGGTAACACTTTTCGTCTTACTGTCTTTGTCTCTGGAAAACAGTCAGTGAAAGAGGTAAATCAAAAGTTAGCCCATAGGAGCACACACAGGAAAAAGCAAAAGTAAGAATGAGAAAAGTAAGCCAGATGCAGGGTACTAGGAAAACTGTAGGAGGATATGTTATACATCTTAATATATGTGAAAAGTGGTGGTTGAAATGGATGGTTTTTCAGGAAAATATAAATTGCAAAAATTTGAGACCTTGAGTAGTTTTTTGGTAAAATAAATTTATTAAATTGAAGTGTGATAATTGCTTTTTCAAAAACTCTATTCCTTTTCATTGATTTTTGTTTTTTTCCTAGCTTTTTTGCCCTGAATAGTTTTTTGATTTTCCATCTATTTTGTTCTTAATGAGTCCATTTAATATACCAAACCGGCTACATTCCATGATATTTGGTTAAATCGTGTGTTTTCTTTGACTTTCGTTTTTACATAGTATGTAATTGTAATTTTGATTTATTACTAAATTCACAATTGCTAAGCAGAGGGTTCTCTCTCAGTCTCTGTGTTTGTCTTTCTCTCTGTCTTCGTGGGACAACTTTCCTGCATTCTCTTCGGGATTCTTTTTGACTTTCTTCTGTTTTGGATTTCTTGTTTTCTGAATCCCATGCTTTCCTCCTTCTTGGTTTTCTTCCTCGTTTTATTAGTCTGTTTTTGATATATTGTGCTGAACACGTGGTAGGAACTTTCAAACTGGAGGATTCTGGTAAATTCAGTTCTGGTAGATTCTTTTCCTCTTCCTCTTCTTCCCTTCCTCCTCTGTCCCTTTTTCTCTTCCCTCTCCCCCTCCCTGTCCCCTACCAGCTTGCCCCCTTGCTTGCCAGGTTTCTAGTCCATGTGGCTGTTGTTGACCTTCTCCCTCCTTTTCTTCCTCCCTTCTCTCCCTTTCCACTTTCCCTGGTTTTTCTCTGTTTAGATAAACCACTTCTCGCTTCTTCAGCTACTTTGTTTTCTGAAAAACAGTTGGAAGCTTTTATTCACTGCCGCTCTACTTCACTTCTCTTCTCACAACTTTATACCTTTCTAAATTTCTTATTCATTTATCATTTTTCTGGTGCTTCCAGAGTAAGAAGTAAATCCATGTCAGTTTGCCTCAGTGTAAGTTTCATCTACTTTTTCAGAAATTGCTCAATTTTTTATTTGATACTGGCATCATTAACTATTTTTAAAATTTCTTTTTTTTTTTTAATTTTTTTTTTTCAACGTTTATTTATTTTTGGGACAGAGAGAGAGAGAGAGAGAGAGAGACAGAGAGAGACAGAGCATGAATGGGGGAGGGGCAGAGAGACAGGGAGACACAGAATCGGAAACAGGCTCCAGGCTCCGAGCCATCAGCCCAGAGCCCGACGCGGGGCTCGAATTCACGGAGCGCGAGATCGTGACCTGGCTGAAGTCGGACGCTTAACCGACTGCGCCACCCAGGCGCCCCTAAAATTTCTTTTTAATGTTTATTTAATTTTGAGAGAGAGAGAGAGAGCACTTGTGCAAGGAGGGGAGGGGCCGAGAGAGAGGGAGACCCAGAATCCGAAGCAGGCTCCAGGGTCTGAGCTGTCAGCACAGAGCCCGACGCGGGGCTTGAACTCATGAACCACAAGATCATGACCTGAGCTGAAGTCGGAGGCTTAACCAACTGAGCCACCCAGGTGCCCCCAGCATCATTGACTATTTTGGGCACTTATGTGAATTCATTTTCATTTTTATATTTCTTCCATACATGAAGCTACATTTTGGGAAGGGGCAGGTAAACATAGGGACTCGATTGGCCATCTTCAGCTGTGTTGAAATAATAGTTTACTTTGAAGATTCATACCCATTTAAATATCTGTACTTACTTGTTATAAAATCTTCAGCAGGAGAACTTGGGATAAACTTGGGATATTCTTGACTTCTCAGCCTAAATTCTTTTCCACAAACATTTGAAGGTCATGAAGAAGGATATTTCACAGCTATAATGTTGAAGAAATCGAGAGTGAAATTTAAAAGCCAAGAGATTATCCCTTTTCCAAATACAAAAATGATGAGAAACCTTTTGTGTGTGTATGTAAGTAATTTTTAAAAATTGACTTTTT